TCATGGCCGTAGCCGGCCAGACACAGACGGGCCGAAAGGAAGTTGCTTTGTCACGAAGGAAGCCCCACCCACAGATGGAACATCATAAAAGGAAGCCCAGACGCTCTACTAGGAGCATCCGTTCGTTTCTTTTTTTTGAAGAGGCTCATGGACGGGCCATGTTACACTATATACTTCTTTGGGGCTTCCATAGACCAAGATTGCTGACCTTTGGCCCGCACCGGGAGGCCCTTTGTGAGCGAAGCACAGATCCCCAGAATCGTCAGCCAGAACAGGGCCTTTCTTTAAGTGGCTGTGGGTCATGGCAGCGGGACACGGCTTTTCCCACCTGGCCAATGCACAGAATAGGCTACCTGGCAGGTCAAGCGGGCCAGCCCCGTGACCGGGGCTCCGGGCACCCAGTTGTCATAGGTCCTGAACACCTCTAAACTGAGAGTCTGTACAGTAGTCTAGTGTTTTTGCATGATCAACTTCAGTCAAATCACTTCACTTCCTGACCTGCTCAGACGATCCCGAGACACTCGCGGATCGGCGCGACGCGGAGGCCTATGGACGTCAGATGATCGAAGCAGCCAAGGCGCCGGAACCTGGATTCCGGGGCTGGAGGCGTTCCTGGAGCTGTTTGGAAAGAGATCAAAGACACAACCGGAACTGGATGGGACTGGAAGATGATTGATTACATGTAACACACACACACATATATATATATTTACTATACCCTGGGAGTCAAAGAATATAATGAAAATCATGGTCTTTAGATGACCCGAAAAGGAATTTAATTTCCTTTACTTCAGTCGGTCAAAAAAAAGTCTTTGGACTTCTAGGGTATATATATATATATACCTAGAACCTGAGTGACCTCTGTTTTCAACCACCAACCACCCAAAAGATTGTCTTTTTCCTATCAAAACAGAGGTCAAATGGGTTCTAGGTATATATATATAGATCCCCAAAAACTGTCCAAAACCACTCCGCGACTGATGGGGGGCTTGGACCGCGATCGCGATCGAATCGATGGAACGTCTTCGTTTTGGCCTTGAAAAGGGTCTTTGAGGGAAAAGAACGGGTGCCAAGACCACTGGTGACACTGGTGCTGAAAATGCTTTTTTTCTTCGGGGGGTTGCTATCCGATAGGCTGAGAAGTTCTGGGAAAAGGTTAACTTTCCAAGATAAATTTATTATAGATATTTGTAGTGGGCTCTTTTCCATTCAATGTCAGTAGTTTGGAGTGCACCTTGTGAACAAGGCTATATCTTTTGCACGCACGATCTCTGAGCTGCTCTTTAAGAAGGCCCTGGCAGGCCATCAGAAGCAAAATGAGGCAACGGCCTGCGGCTCGGCCACAACTGCTCACAAACAAACAAACTATTAACTGACTGACTGATCGACTGACTGGCTAACTTACTGTAGACTTCAGCATGGCGACCCTTGCACTCCGAATCTACTGCAAGATACCAGAAATCTTCCCCCCTCCCGGTAGCCCGTGGAGGTTCTAGATGCGACCCCCAAGTCTCACCAAGCTACGCCGGGTCACTCCAAGCCATATGGAGCCATGCCGGATGAGCTGGATGGGTTTCCGATGCCTTCCAACAAGGAGCGACAGGCGTGGGGCCCTGGGCCCGCCAGACCGCGGGTGAAGTCTTCACCTAAACATCTTCGCGACAGACGATGAAGAGACAGATTTTTGCATGAGAATTTGGCCATGACATCGAATTCGTGACCTGCTTGGTGTTCGTGGACTCGTTGACCTCTCGGGACCGATCCCGCCAGGCGAGCGACCGCTGCGCGCCGCGGCGCGGCAGAAGACGGAGAGGGGCGGAGGGGGTGAGGGGGTCGGGGGAGGGTGAGGGTGTTTCAGGTCAGAATGAGGGTGGGGGGAACTGTGGAGATGGAGATGTTTTTCAGACTTGCCTGAAAGAATTCTTTATTTTTCTGTGGAGGTTTTCCGAACTGTTTTGTCTTGGCCATGCCGCAATGCCTTCCAACTTCGGATATTTCAGAGAGCGCAGGTTCCTTGTTTTGGACGGTGGCAGCATCTTGGCTCCTGCGACCACTGGGTTCGCAGGAGCCTGAGCGTCGGGCCCATCGGTCGGTCTTGGAACGCCGATGCCGATGCCATCTCAGGCACTTGGAGGACGCAGACCATGTGACCTCTCCTCCGCAGGCCGGTGGTCTCGTAGAGCGAGGGACACGTGCAGCTGGAGAATTGACCCAGCACTTGGCAACATCATTGGTCAGTGTAAAGGGTTGTGCTATGCTGCAGTTTGCGGCGATGAAGCGCCGTTTTTGATTCGATCTTGGAAGCACACTGGATCAGCTGTGAGTTTGCATGTTGCAGTTGAGAACACTTGGGCCATCAAGAACCATAGACGACATCGTGTATCCACCAAATTACTACCAAATGCCACAAACCGGTGTTGCACCCGGATGTCCACAAATAGAAAAAAAACATCCACAACTGTCCACTTGTGAAAAGCAAATCATCCTTTTATATAAACTTTCCAGCAGAGGTTGAAGAACCCGAACTAGACTATCCTAGTTCAGGTTGAAGTACCCCTGGTTACGGGTCCTAGTTCAGGTCACTTAACCTCTGTAGGTCTGTTCAAACCGTGGGCAGCCCTGCCGTGCCCGCCCCATGCCGCAGTGCCCAGGCAGCGGGCTCTGGCCTGACAGCCGTGCGGCAGAAGCGGCCCTGGGCGTGTCTCGGTGGGAGGTGAAACCACCGGTGAAGCACGGGGGTGGGCTGGTCGGAAGAGGACGCTTCTTAGAATAGGACATATGAACCCAACAGAAAGCAAACAATGTTGACAGATTCGATGATCAGAGGAAAAAAGAGAAGAAAGAGACCAAAGGGCTCAACCAAGAAACTGGTCAAGACCAAACGACACATATAGTGCTCTTTTTTCCGCGGTCTTGAGCTTCGAGACGGAAGGACTTCCAGAGTTCTTTTGTTTCCACCGGTTGGACGGGGGTCGATCCGACCGCCATCGCAGTGGAGGATCCGGCAGCTCTTGGTTCCAGGTGCTTGGTTCGCAGCAGCTTGAGCCAGCTGCCGGAGGGGTTCAGCCGGTTCTTTCCTTTCCTGATATTTCTTTTCTCTACATCGTTTGCCAAGGGAAAAAGACCTGCCCCTTCACCGGGCCACCACCACCACGCTGCCGCTTCAGCGGCGCCGGCGCCGATCCAAACCCGGCTCGGTTCGGCGCCCGGTCGGTGCCCGATGAGGTCCCACACGGCGGAGCTGGAAAGCTGTCCGATTTGCTGCTGGGATCGAGTTGATTTCCGACTCCACGAGCCCGTCAGAGTGGAGGATCGGTGATGGGAAGAGGTGAAGAGGTGAAGGTGAAGGTGTGAAAGGTGCCTACTGATGGGATCAAGGGTGTGAGGTTTCGGGTGCTTTGTGTTCTACCGATGTATTGGTCGTTTCTCATCCTTTTCCGCTCGTTTTCGATGGGTGCTTTGTGTTCTACCGATGTATTGGTCATCAGTTTCTCATCCTTTTCCGCTCGTTTTCGATGTTTTCGTTCAGACCAGGCGCCTTTTTTCTTGAATTGGGAGACTTGCTAAGTCGAGACACCGGGGATTTGATGACATGCCCTGCATTTGTGGTGTGCAGATCTGAGGCTTGGATGCCTTATGCAGCCAGGCGCAAGGCGTTTGTGTGGATTCTTGGTACAGCTGAGTCTGAGGTTTTTCTTTTCGGACAGTTCATGAAGAAAGCCCCCGCAAGTCCGGAGAAGCTCTAATAGGGTAACCCTATTTCTTCCAGATTTGTTGGGAGATGCCGAGATGCTCGCTCGATCTGCCTCCCCCAACATGCCCCAACCAGCCGGCGTGCCCGCGGTGTGCGCGGTTTTCGCGGCACACTGCGGCACGGTTTCATGCCCCTCCGACCCGCGCCGAGCCGCATCCCTGGACCGCCTTCCGAGCCTTCCGAGCCCAGGACCCTGGACGTCGATCGGAGGTCGTTGGCGAAGTAGGCGAAGTCTCATCGAATTCTGTGGTCGTTGGCGTTTCCCACCGGCAGGGTCCGACCCTCCCTGCCCTGCCCAAGGACTTGGAGGGGCAGCGGAGCTGTGCTCATTTCTTCCACTTGCGCTGCCTCGAACGAGTGGAAGGTGAGTGTTCGAACCGCGGTGTTCCACGACTCGAGAAAGCCTCCCAAGTTGGTTAGGGTGTTATTTCTGCACAAATTGGGCTTCAACGGTTGAGGCTTCAAGGGTAAGAAAGCCATGATGAAGCCTCGTTGGTTTCTGGTTCAACCTTTATACCTGGAATGATGTAGGCCAATGACTCCTAGTTTTCAGGTTGCAGCAACCACCCACTCAGAACACCAGAACCCTAGTTCGTTGCTTCAGATCCCTAAGAATCTTCTGCCACCTTCATCCGGCCTCAGAGCTTGACCACGTCCTCGACCGGACCAGTGCAACTCGGGGCAGGAATCAGTTATATCAAAGACATCAGTGAATGCTCTTCTTCCTTTGTTTGTGGGGACTGAAACCGGCCACCCCCAAAGCAACCCTGCATGTATTAGATGTGGTCCTCAGGAACACAATAGACATACGGCATGACCGGGTCAGTGAGCCATGCTGCCATACGGCAGGACCCATTGATAACCAGACTCGTGCGAGGGGGACGCGGGGAATGAGGGAATTTTCACCAGTCGATACCTCAGGATCCAGCCACCCCTACTACTCAGGATCCAGGTCGCACCAGTCAGGTCGCCACTTCCAACATCGAAACACTTCACCGGTCCGCGAACAGCACCGCGAACAGCGCCCGGTCAGTGAACATGCTTTTTCATCTCCCATCCGTCATTACCCCCTACATCTCCCACATCCACATCCAGCCAGCCCGTACCAGCGCCCCCAGTTTCGGGGTGGGTCATGTCATGGAAACCCCTTGGGACTCTTCAGGGCTTTGCAGCCGCAAATGCTGCGGTGATCAATCACATGCCTAGGCATCGCGCATTCAATAACCTAGGCAAGTGCAAACTGGACATGAAAAATTTTTTTCATATAACCTCTAAGCAGCTATCATTAGACTCCCCCCGACTGGCCCTGCCCGTTGGGCCCCTGGAAAATCTTCTTCCACACATCCGCCATCATCCGCCCCCAGCTGCGCCGCCCAGCCGTCCCCTCGACTGGCCAGCAGGTCCCCACTGTCCTCAGTGCCGTGGCCGCTTCTTCCGCCGCGCTCCGCTACCGCGCCCCACGGAGCACGGCTGGCGACAGCTGGTGGCGCCCACGGGCCTGCGGCGAGAGCTGGCGGCAGGACCGGATGGCTTGGTGTGGTCTTTTTTCATGGAGAAAATGTCAGGTACGTACTATATATATATTTATTTATTTATTTATTTATTTTTTTAAATGTATATAGATTCATTGCATGTAATTTAATATATATATATATATATATTTTTTTCCGTTCTTTTTTATTGTTTCGGCACCCAACGTGTAATCAGACTGTAGAGAAAACCACCTCTCGAGAACGGACTCCGCTAGCGGACGCCCGTTTGGGGACGCCCACTTTCATCCACCTTCGGCGGCCTAGCACGTCAGGTTCACGGATTTCCTGGAAGCACCGACTGAAACCAGGTCACCAGGGCCTGTCCCACCCAACCCTCCATGCAACGGAGACCTGTTGGGGGAAGGTGCTGGGATGGATTCCTGGGCTGAGGTCGACCCTGAAGTCCGACCGGATCAGAGGTGGTGCCCAGATGCTCCACGAGTTCACAGCCCGACTTCCGCTCCTGAACCAAACCGATCGGGATTGGTGAGAACCCCCCCAGACCCCTCCAGAGGATTCAAGTGCACGGTCGCGTCTGGGTGTTTGAGTGTTCTTTTTTTATTCCATGCAAGTTTTGCTCGGAGTGTACTTGGGGTCGGAACGCGAAGTATCCAGCACCCCCCACGGGGTGGTTGATGGACGCCCCGAATCACAGCTAAGGGGTTAAGGGGCTAAACACCCCTTGGAGGGTCCTGGATGACTTGTCAGACTTCGTCCCATGCACCTCAAAGACGGAAGGCCGGAGATTGATGTAGGAAGGTCGGGTGTTTCTCGCCAGGCCTGCGAGCATGTGTGGAGCTGCCACCTGATGAGGCGATAGGGTCGCAGAGGGTCGGAGAGGGGTGCAACGGATGCTTCTTGCTTCATGAAGACCCTTGAAGTTGCTTTCTTTCATAGCCTTAGAAATCCCCAAAGGAGTGCTCACAAGCAGGTTCACATCCCAACACTCATGTTCTTTTGGCACTTGGATTGTCTGAAACCTCTCAACACCTCTCCCCCACGCGTTTGGTTCAGTTGACTTTGTGGCGGGTCCCAGGCATCCAGGCAGACCAGTTCCAGTTCGACGACCAAACCATGGACCGACATATAGTGGTCACTGGGATCCACTGTCCGGTCGGAAGCTTTGCTTCCAGGTGGAAGCTTTGCTGTCCAACTACGCAGACGACGATTTTTTGTCGGGAGAGCAAATGTATGAGATCCTCAAGTCGGTGCAAGGCACGGGGTGAGAGGAAGGCTGGGAAAGTTCGGTGCGGAACATGAGGTGGAGGCCATCGCTAGTAGGTGTGAGGCCATTGCTGCGCTACTAGGGTGGCGTCCCATCGCTTCTAGGTTGGAGGCCATCGCTACTAGGGAGGCCATCGCTAGTAGGCCTGGGAGAGTTCCATGCGGAGGTGGTGGTCTCAGTGGGAGCAGATGGAGGGCAGATGGGGCCACAGGGGTCTGGTGTAAGGCATCGACCATCACCCCCAATCAGACAGGTGATATCAAGGTTTCGACCAACGTCTCTGAAGAGACCGGCTCTGAAGATCTACCTCCGCCCCCAACAGCCCAAACCACCCTCTCCTCTTTTGGATCTCTGCTTCTCTCCGCTCGGTGGACCTTCAGAACTCTCTCCGCTCGGAAATCCCCGGTCCCTCGGTCCTCGCGGATGCCGCGCGCCGAGTCCGTCCGTCGGTGTGCCTGGTTCCCCCCCAGTCCGCGTCCCCGCAGATTACGTGCCGGATCTCGCGGATCCCGAGCCAAAGGTGTGCAAGGCACGTCGATCGGAACCCGATCGGCCGGGAGAGGGCTTTTTTCGGGTCCGACCTGGGTGGGACGGGCTGGTGGTGATTGAAAGATCTAAGAGCGGGAAAGGTCAACTGCGTGGTGGATTTTTCTGGGAGCTTTGTTTCAAAACCAGTTTTTTTTTTTTTTTTCTGGTTGCATCAACATGTTCTTGAAAGAACACGAACTTCATGACTGCTTGGTCAAGTCGTTTACTGCAAGTGCTTGTGTCCTGCGTCAGCCATCAGAGGCAAATCCCTTCTCATCGTCTCAAAACATTCTCGTGGCGGGGAACAGGGCCCTGGATAGGCCAGCTTTGAAAATACATGCTTGCCGTATTTTCTGCAGACGGGGTGTGTTTGCACTTTTTGATGGCACGTTCAAAATGACAAAGGTCGCCTAACTAGGAGTCACAAAGGGGTGGGTGTTACAGTAGTCACAGTAGTCATCCTGTGAGTGGATCATGAGCACCCCTAACCTCCAAATTCGGCACCCCTTCAGAACTGCTGAAAGTTCATACTGTTTCGCTCGTTCCGAGCCACTTAAGTTGAAACAAAACCAATGCGGACAGCACGAGTGGCGCAGCTCCGTTTTCTCCGTCGTGACCGCAGGAAGAGCCTAAGGGTGGTTGCCAGGGCCTCAGAATGCCTCAGACTGGCCAGTGATCGAAACCGGTTTTACACGAGCGGTCATGAAAACCTGGGGTGTAGATCAAAATAGGGTGACCCCCGAAAGATCCCTTTGGGAAGGAGGACGGTAGACCGCAACCCATTGGGGGTGGGTTCCCTATACAGTAAAACAAACACCCACATAGATATCGAACACATCGAACATGACCTCTTTGTAGAGGAAGATGGTCTTGAGAAGGTCCAGTCTTATCAATGTTTATCCTCCTTAAATAAACAAGTGTACATCCTAGGTCCTGCGCAAGTGTCTGTTTCTGGTCGATTTCAAGCTCCGACATGGAGATGGAAAAGAGCTCGGAAAGGGTCGATCTGGAAGTCTGGCAACTCACCCAAGTCTTCTGCATCGATGGACCATTGACGGCCCACAAGATTTGACATGAAACATCTGACTCGTCTGTCTCTTCTTGTCTCTGGTTTCAACGGATGATTAGCCATGTCACCCATCAATCAACGTCTGACAAGCTTCTTCTGGAGCTTCTTCTAGGGCCTTGTTTTTTGCTTAACCTGCTCTGAAGCACCGGTTTAGAACTGGCAGCAGAGCTGAAGGCGGTTGATGACCACAAGTCCGGATCCAAAAGCCGTGCCATCTCTAGATAGGAGTTTGTTGCCCGCTTTTGATACCCCAAATCGTTTTGCTGGTCCAGCTCTTCCAGGATTTTCCAGGTCACACCTGCCCCCTTTTGTTCGCGTTCCTTTTTGCTTTTCGTGCTCCCCCATGTCACTGGATCCCGTGCCGCGCTCAATAAACCGGTGCCGCGTGGTAGGACCGACCAGCGACCGGAGACGGCAGGTCGCTGCCCCTGTGGTCGCATGCACGTGCGGCGCGGCGACCGCGTGAAGCGCGGCAAGGGCCAGGCGGAGGACGGGCGACGGATGGCGCGGCGCGGCGTGTGCGGCGTGTGCGGTGAGGTGGCAGCTGAGCGGTCGGCACGTTCGTGGGTGTTCGCGGTCCGCCGATGGGACCGACCCGATGGGAGCCCTCTTATTGGTCCCGGGGTGGGTTTGTCAAGGTCATGTGGTGGCTGCAAGTGAGAAAGCTCAGACACAAGAGAAGATGAAACGATGAAACGATGGCAGGGTGGTTTTCAAAGACGTCTCAATCATTTTTCATTCATTTCTTGTTCTCGTGGCTGCAGAGAAAGCACCATGTCATTCCTCGGCCCCTCATTCCTTTGCGCTTTGGAGGACGATGTGGCGGAAGGGATTCTTGGCTGAGTGGGTGGCGAGGGTGGAGCTGTGGTCACAAAAGGATCTCTCTCTCTCTCTATACATAAGTTTAGGTTTGTGTTGGTCAACTCCGCACAAGAATACAAGAAATTCCTTGGTATGTTTTTATTTTTGGATCTTCCACCACTGGAGACAGTGCAAATTGGTTTGGTGACATCACACATGAGCCATTCTTCATGCAAATCTGCGGTGAAAACCACTAGCTTGACCAACCGGTCGGATGGAGTTTTGGGTTTTGGGGGCATTTCATGTGCAGTGTCCCACTAGCCATTGTGAGACTATTCTGGAAAGAAGCCAAGCGCACCTGAGAGTTAAACAGGCAAGTTTCGGTGGCTCTACACTTCCATGTGGGCTTGATCAGACCTTCTACCCAGCGGTCATCCAGGCAGCTGGGCAGCATCGTGCGCTTGTTGGAAGGCGACTTGGCCCAAGGAAGAGAGCGACGCCAGAGGTTGGAACCCCAAGGCGAAGTCAGGAACGTCACGCGATGTTCAACAGTTTGGGCCACCCAATTCTGCATGGAGGTGCTTTATTTTGGTCAATTTGTTCAATTGGGTTGTCACTGGCATCCTTCTCTTCTCCCCAAGGTTTTACCTTTTGGTTTCCTGCCTCCACTTTACACGGCTTACTCTCTCGAACCTCCTTGTCGCACCGATCGGACCCGGTTCGGCCCCCCCGAACTCCGGGGTCGGGTTGTCCCGAAGTCGAACTGGTCAGGGGTCTGAGGGTCGAAGCGGTTTTGAGGGACCAGGAAAGGGCTGTTTTCACGGAGCGTCTGGGTAGTTGTTTCTTCTTTCTTCTGTTTTTCCGGCGCTTGGTTCGGGCGAAGACTCGAGGGACCAATGAAACTTGTTATTGATGGAAAGGGGTTCTCCCTTAAGGAGAAAAACGACCCTGGCCACGAGAGCCACCACGTCTGTGCAGATATGGCCAGTCCCAAGTCACGCGTGACCGTCCTGGTCGACAGCGTCAATAGGTCGCGTGCTGGTGAAATGGGACCGCCTTCCGAAGGCCACCGGGTCGTCCGCGCGTCGTGTCGGACCGTGTCGATCGGTTCCGGGCGAGAAACCGTTCGGTGAAGAAACAGGGTCTGAAATGCCGATGGCTCCCTAATAGGCCCCCGTTTGGTGTACTTGGGTTTGTCTTGCATTTCCGTTTCAGCCTAGACCATCGTCACACACATCCAATAACTATATACGTAACACACATGGGGCCACCATGACTGGATTGCATGATGACTTCAAGCTTACACTGGACCGGTGTTGGTCCAGGATGTGCAATGACAAAGCAATCGATTCCCAAGTTCATTGGGCATGTCGAAGGCAGTTTCTGAAGCATTCTGACATATGTTCGGGCATTGTCCAAGAGCTTCTTGCTTCAAGGGTTAGTGAGCGACTACATGTATGCGCCAGAAGTTGCGGGCTACGAATCCGCTCACTATAATCGATGCAGCAGCTGCCACAGCAACAGCCACAGCAACTGTGGTAGCTGCATGTGCCGGTACGCTGTTGCTGCCTGCCGTTGCTGTGGCATCCACTCTTGGTCTAGCAACGCCTTGGAAGCTGCTGGAAGTTGTTCAGGCTGAGTGGCTCCCGGAGGAAAGGTGACGCGCATACGAAGGACATCAAAGTCCTTCAAGGTCCGGAAAGCTGCAGCGGATTTTGCTTGAGCTTCTAACCGGCTGGGGCCAAAGGACAAGCAGACTGTATACTGTATACATACACAGTATCCTCCAAGTAGTGGAACCCAGGGGTGGAAGACTAAGAAGCGGGGCTTCACTTGTGTTTTCCAGGTCACTGGCTAGAAGCAACGTGCTCACTTTTGGAACAGTTCGCTAAATGCACCACCAAGACGACCGCTTTCATCCTTCCAAGTGTGGGCGGGGAACAAACGCGACACCAGCCACCAGTTGGCGCACGCGGCACGCGGCACGCAGGTTCATCAGTACAGTTGGCCTGGTCCAGAAAGCGATGTTTTGCAATCCGTCACTTGGAGTGTCGGAGTCGCAGCCGGATCCACTTGGAGGGGGAGGGTTTTGTTGTGTTTTGTGATATTGGCACGGCGAGGGGCGATGCAGGGCCTTCCGGCTCTTTTTGTTGGCACAAGAGGCTGGGAGGGCCACCCAAATGGAGGACATAAAGGTTCATCACATGTAGGGAAGATAGGCGCTTGAAGGCCGCCGGACTGTGGGAAAGCTCTCAAGAACGGAGGTTTTCCCGCTACTGTGTGCTCCACCCTCATGCGCACTACTGCACCCTCCTAAAGTCAAACATAGAAAGTGACAAACCACCACCTGTAGATCTTCCAAGACAGCTCTGGCAGTGTTGATTGGCACGCTACCCACTTGGTGGCTCCGCCACGGAGCCATCATAGCCCCGCTACTGTGGGGCCCTGTCCGGCGCGACCTGCGAGGCCCCGTTCTGGGAGCTCGCTGCTGATGTGCAGAAGTTGCAAGAGCTGACTGTGCCGTGGCTGATTTGGGGGCGGACCTGGGAAGCACATGAGGTGGGACCCTTTCCACGCATCTCCAGACAGATGTGTGAAGCATGGCCACAGTTTTGCACGCTGAGCTATATTTTGTGCAGAGGCGGTCGTCTTGAACATTGCCTTGATTTCATTTCATGCAGACACCGAAAAAAAAGAAAAATCAGTGGACACATGATGGATCTTCAGATTTTAGACACACACTTGAGAAGGTTGCTCCGTGGAGCGTGATTTCAGGTAGCTTCGCGGTGTGCATTAGCCCTTTAAATCTAGATACTGCAGGAAACAACGTATGAGACGGCGTTGCACTGACTTAGAAATCTCAGCGATTGAAAATCAAAATTAGTATTAAAATTGCAGGTACGTGATCCTAGCGTCCCAGGATCATATCAGCCATGGAATGCAGCCCTCTTCGTTGGACAACCAACTGCATCCATGGGGTTGTCCCCCTGCTTCTGTACAGAAAAGCTTGTAGGGTAGATTAGAAAAGAAAAACTAGAGTAGTGTCCTTGGAAACAGGAGTGGACACACACACACACAGAATCACATTTGCATTCAATTTGCATGCTCAAATGCAAAAGATGCCCGTGTGAAGTACTAAGTAGGGTCTGTCCGTTCTTATATACCTGAAACAGTCAGGTTTCACAAGGCAACACAAAAAACTGTTCTTGAGATGGAAAGGCCTAAGGCCTACAACCAGGTCCCATCCACAGTCCTGGCCCTGGATGACATGGACCGACCTGACCCGAACGGGGAACCGAACGGGGAGCACGAGTCTCGCTGACGCAGTTGGACCCTCTCCTTGGCACTGGACTGAGCAGCGCAGCAGCCGAGGAGACGAAAGCCATGGAAACACCCGAAAAAACACACGCCCTGGAGTGAACACAACGGGCGTGGCCAAGTGGCAGATGATGTATCACATCATAAAGACTTATATATGGTTGGGCATGCACCACTGAGCGTCCGTTTGCTTTCAGATGTTTTTTTTTTCAAGTCTCCATTTTATATGATATTGTTCTGTGTGGCAAATCCAACATCACTGACCAAGCCATTTCGTGTCGTCAAAACACACCTTTTCCGCGGGGGTCTTTGGTTTGGTGGTACTGGCCAACCCTTTTGTGAGGGGCCGAAGGGGGGAGAGACTTTCGCTGGGCCATAGGAGCTCCTTCTGCGAGTGCATCCGCCCGAGAAGCGTGCAGAGGTTCCACCGGAGGCACGCGAGCGATGCGTCGTGCGTACCGAGCATCTCGCCGCCGGCGGACGTCGTTGTTCCTTCGGGACGAAGCGCGAGCTTCGTGGCGCTCCAACTCAAGACCTGGAGCAAGGATTGATCAAAGTCATCCCAGTCGGTGCATGCCGGTCCAAATGATTCGAGTGTCGATGAAGCCCCCCAAAAAACCGTGTCGAGTCCATACTCACTCGGTTTTTCGGAGCGCGTGCCAGGACTTGGCGAAGTGTGGTCGTCAGCTGGGAGAGGAGATGGATGGAGATGGGGGTCGGAGGCCTGTTTTGGTGGGATTTGTGTCGCACGGCCAGCTGCTTCTCTGAGAAGCCGCAGAAGAAAACCAGTTGGTATGAAGAAAGGTTCGGTTGACCAGGTACTTGTAGCAGGCACTCAAGCGAACTCCAAACGTTTGTCTTCCGGGTATCAACCCGCAGCATGCAGATTTTTTGCTGCCTGAGTTTAGTATAATGCAGCGGTTCTTTGTTTCTGAGTTTCAATTGGAATGGATTCATATGGATTCGCCTGAGGGAACTGCGCAGAACTCCCGAAAAAAACCCAAACCGCCAGGAGCAGCTTCGTCGTAAGCCCGCCCTCTTCCATCGGGTGCGCTTGCTGCCAGACACTCGCCAAATCCAACGATGGGCAGTCGACGGAAGCCTCCGCCGTGGCCTCCGCCCCGTCTGACGCATACGGAGCCTTCACGATCGCCTGATCCAGAATCATTTGCTTGGTAGGGGCCAGTACTCCAAAGGGAGTAAACAGGACAGGGTTTTCCTACAGGAAATCCCAATGACATGCATCTTGTTAGTTCTTTTAGATGGTATGACTGGCTGCGATGTGCGACGCATTGATCAAAGATAGTGCTCCTCATGCGGCTCGGACACACATGCCTGCCACTTTGATATCCTTTAAATGGTCAACTCATGAGGTGCCCGACATTGATTTATCCATGCCCAGAATATGAACAGATGCTGGGTCTGATAGGTGCATCTTTTCGATTCAATTCCTCAAAAATAACTTGTTTTGACTCAGTTTGCCATGACGTTTCTATGCTAAGTGGCTCAGCATTCATAGCTTCCCATTTCATCTCTTCCCATCTTGCAAACACAGAGTGCCTTTCCCTTTCTGGAAGCATACTATTGTGGAAACTTGTGGAGCTTGGTCATAGAAACTTGTGGAAGCGCCTCACCAAGACGAGTTCCACCTTGTTCCAGCAGGGTGGCTCCTCATCTGAGGACAAGCGGCTGGTACAGCAGTGGTTCGATAAAGCCAAGAGACTCGTCAGCAGACGTGGCCTCCGAGGAAGCCGTGCGGAGCCGTTTTGAAGACCAGTTCAGACCTTGACACGCGTGACATGAGCTCTGCATTCGGAAGTTGGCTTCTGAGTTCTGAACAATTTGGAACTCAGAGCTGTCAACAGCCAAAGTCCAGACTCTCTGATTCAGTCAACTCCCCGCCCGAAGCGTGTGCCGCTCGACCGTCTACGCCGTGCGTCGCTTGTGCTGCTGCGGGGCATGTGCTTCGTGGTGAGCCGTGACCCGCTGACCGAGGCCCTGTCAATGTAAACGCCCGGGCTGCTGCGGTGGTGTCCAGTGGTCTTCCCGTGCCGAGAAACATTTGGGCCGGGAAGGCATGATCATGCAGCTCCTTGGCCGAATAGGATCCGGGAGGCGGAATGATTGACATGGTGACTGTCATAGCACTGTCTGGAGCTTTGGCCATTTCGCGACAGGTGTCGATCAACTGCACCACATGGGCGGAGATTCTGTCATGCACCACATGCACCAAGGATTGATAGCAATGATGACACTGCCCCTTGGCGAAATGACTGTGGTCTTGGCAGCCTTTCTTGGTTTGGTAATCTCCAGATCATTCAAGAAGATCTCATCAACACATTTATGTCTATGACATCGCTTTTACAGGCCTCTTGCACACCATTGCAGCCATGTTTACATTCTTAAAAATTATGTGTAGCACAGCACTCTTTCACCCACCTCATCAGGAAACGTGTATCACTCTCTCTCTCTCTCTCTGCGTCCCTCCCTCCCTCCCTCCCTCGCTCGGCTCGCCAGGTTCTGGTGGAGACGTCTGGCATTTGCGAGTGCAAGATTTGGTATCCACGCTTGGCAGTAGTGCCTCTTGGCTTCTTTTTGGGTTTGAGAAGGTTTCACCAAAGCAAAAAGATTTGTCATAAGTTCGATGGATTCGCGACGGAAAGACAGACATGTTTACTGGAAGGGTTAGCGGTTTTGTGGGGGGCTAAGATGCAGGACTTGGCCAAGCGCTAAAGCACTCTCTCTCCCAAACACTCCAGCCATATATAAAACGCCTATTGACCGGTGGAAACAAATGGGTCAATGTAGGCATATCCCATACATGGAGTACGGTACACCCGCAAACTGATGGAAACTGTGACCTCAGGAAGAAAGAGGGCTTTTTCGCCATTGGAGGGGGACTACGTGACGTTTAGGTAGGTCTTTCCCTGTGCCATCGGTGCTTGTGGGTAATTTTTACTGTGAAACATGACAGTGCACAATCTTGAGCATTGCAGATAAAGGTGAACGATCTCCCCTACTCCGCGTCAGCAGCACGCATGGTTCCTTGGGAGAGCTCTTTTGGGTTGGGCGGTTCTCGCCGGTTCTCGTTCAAAGGACCCAGGCGGTTCTCGTTCTTGTCACTTTTTATTTCGTTTTCGACTTTCCTTCTCTTCTCAAATGGAATTCGAAGGCAAGCTTTCCGACCGACGCCAAGGGGCAAGCAGCCATTCTACCGGCTTCCGTGTTTTGGGTGGATTCCAGTTGAGCGCCTTCTGAACTCCTTCCGGTTGGAGGCCATCGCTTCTAGGTTGGAGGCCATCACTCATCTCACCCCTCCGGTTGATTGGTTGATCGCACGGAGGGAGCACCGGAGCACGCCCAGGCCAGTCTATGACCCTGACCTGGAGGAGGAGCCACAGTTCAATGTGGCTCGGAAGGAAGCATTGAAAGGGAGAAGAAGTAGAAAGCAAACATATGCAAGCATACCAATATGTATTTGTAATATTGTGTAATATATTTGTATATATATAATATATAAGACATATATATATATATACAATGTAATATTATACCTAGAACCAGAGTGACCCCTTTTGGAGCCCAAACATTCTTTTTTAATATATAAAAGAGTTTTAGGATATGTGTAGGATCTCTTCGGAATCCGGACCAAACCCCGAAAGAAGAACCGAATCGATTCTTGGGCCGTCGACCAAGCAAGAAGAACCTGCTTGGGTTGTGATGTTAGAAGAAACCTGAAGCCGCCGTTTTCCGCAGTTGCTGAGGTTAATGATCATGTGGAATGCAAGATGCAGATCCTTGACCGCCTTGAGCGCACCGTCTTTTTGACCACTGGTTTTGGGGTCGTTTCGAGGGTGTTGACACTGTGGTGACCAGGTGTGACTCACAGGCTAAAGAAAATGTGAAGCGTAGGTCATCGAACATCGATATATATATATATATATATAACTATATTGTAAGGGCTTCGCCCGGGTGCCGCCGACCCCTTTTCAAGAGGAGTGGAGGCTGCGTGGCATGCGCTAAAGCCCACAAAGGTGGAGATGCCAATGCCAAGGTTGTGCCCTGCGACCCCAGGATATACACCAACAACAGCAATCACAGCAGCAGCACTAAGAAGAAGACCCAGAAGCATCACAAGATCAGAAAAACCACTAGCAACAGGCAGCAAGAAGCATAGTAGCAATGCCCCTGTTCTGGCTGTGCTAATAGACTGGCGGCTGTTTGCGGGGGCCTTGTTGGACAGCCCAGGTGCTGAGCCAGCAA